ACGTGGATTATAATGGGGAATATTACATTGTAATGTTCCCTATTATAATCTATTTCTCTGTTATGTACTGCTATTTTATGTAATTAGAAAAGTGGATTATAATGGGGAATATTACACTTTAATGTTCCCTATTATAATCTATTTCTCTGTTATGTACTGCTATTTTATGTAATTAGAAAAGTGGATTATAATGGGGAATATTACACTGTAATGTTCCCTATTATAATCTATTTCTCTGATTAAATGATTACAGGTAGGCATGTGATCTATCAAAGTTTGAGACTACGTTAGAATGTGTGACCAGTGACGTGGTCACACATTTTAACGTAATCTCGCCCAGTTTTTCGGTGGTGGAATAGGTGAAGAATTCCAACGCTTTCATTTTTTGGTGTAACTGTATTTTATTTTGAAGGCATTTTTAAATACAATTAAATTAAAATAATTAAATCAAAACAATCTAAAATATAAACAATCAACGTCCTCCCCCTCAGCGGGCCACGGTAAAATTATCATACGTTGACCGGTCCGCGGCGATAAAAAGGTTGGGGAGCACTGCTCTATCAGGTCCCGGCCAATAGCAAACAGTTGGGCGGAGCTAGCTGTCACTGCTAGCTCTGCCCAATTGTTTCTTTTTTTCCCCCAATAAAACCAAGTTATGTCAAGGTATATATTTGATTATCTAGAGAAACAGAAATATTCCACCCATTGGAATTCAGTAGCAAAGAATCTTTTTTGGGTTTTTTTTATGGTCACTCTACAATTCCACATTTCATCAGTAGGCATCAGTAGGTCTCTCCCTAGAAAAGAGGGTATTACACAAAAGTATCCTCTTTAACCCACCTTTAATGGCAGAACATAATACATTTACTTCCTTATGGTATTTCTTGTTTGTCCAAATTAAGTACTTTATATTTTGAAACTTCAATAATTATTTTAAATTTTACATTAAAAAGCTTATATTACTCTTGTAAATACGCAGTCATACATTAAACTGCAAGAAGAATACTTAATGCAAAACATGCAATGCCATAGAAAGAATAAAAATGATAGAAATAAGAAAATGATAAATAAAATGACATTATTCTCTAAATTAGATATATGATATGGCAGCCTAAAGCTACAAACATTTTTTCCTATAATTACAACGTGGATTAGATGCAAATACTGATAATAATGTGAAGTTCCATTAGATTACCAGCTCATACACAACTTTGCAAAAAAAGCACTAGGTACCACTAGTGTACAAACATACAACTTGAAATATACGATCTTTGAACCACTTATATCATAAAGGATGTGTAAACCCAGGAACAAAAATGTAATATATTGTAACCTACCAGTCCATAGATGTAGTGTCTATGTTTGTTTCCTGTTTCTACGTTAAAAACATTTTCTTTAGGTACAGAAAAATCCTGCCAGAATTCCAGTATCATTGTTACTTCTGTGTACTGAACTGAATTTCTCAAACAATGTTATCAGTTTTCCCAGTTACCTTCTTTGAACTATAAAACTCCTCCTCACTATGTAAATGGGGGGTTGTTAGTATTCTAAATCAGGAAAGCAGCCCTGACAACTCTGTTCCTCTATATTTACAGCACAGCAAGTGACCTTTGTCACCCTAAGACAGAAAGTGTGTTACTGGCATAATCACCAGATGAGAATAAAAGAAAATAAGCCTGAAAAAACAATGCAGTCACCACATGAGTAATGAGTAATGAGCTGCAATATCTTACATTTTGTTTTTGGGTTTAGATACCTGACTTGAAGCTGTTTACGTTCAGTGATACCTTCACTAATAAAACTTTGTGGAAGCCTACTGTATGCATGGGGTTTTCCTAGGACATATCATGGGGAAATAGACAGCTAAGAATTTGTTCTGATCTTTCCATATCTATACTGTCAGATAATAGCAGTAAATCCAATTTCAGCATGACCTTAGGTTATCCTGTCACCTTAGTGTATCTGTAAAATGCAACATTATTGTTTACTAAATGACTAAAATATCTGCAAGACTGTCCCTCTCTGGAAATCCTCCTGAATCACCAGACTGATTGTCAGAACCATTCATGATAACCTAAGTGTATGTAATAATGTCCACCGCACATTAATTAAATAAAAAGTTCATAAAACATGATAGTAATAATGTAATAGGTTTTAGAATGTAAGCTCTCACGGGCAGGGCCCTCCTTACCATCTTGTTGTGAATTGTATTGTAACTGTAATGTCTTCCTTATATTGTAAAGCGCTGCACAAACTGTTGGCGCTATATAAATCCTGTATAATAATAATAATACTTGCAACAAGAGTGATTCTAATAACAATAGCAACAACCATATCAGGAGTAAATCATACAGATCCACAGACACATTTTCACAGCTGCATAGCAAAATCTGCATAACAAAGAAAAGATACATAAGGAATGAGATCCCTACCCTGGCAAGCTTACAAGTTACATAAAAACTAATAAACTAAAGGTCACAGTTTTACAGAACATGTGTGATTCTAAAATATTATACTTGGAAATAGATTTATATTATCATACTTAAACAGAGGGTACCGATATCAAAGTAGAGAGCTAATTTAATAATCATAGTTATTTGGCTGTACTTGTTATAGGAACTTACTATGATTTTTGGACAGTGATTGATCAAATTTGTCTTATTCCGTAAGACAATGACATTGGCACTGATATAGCGCAGTGTGCATTAACTCGGTCACTCACTCGGCTGCCTACGGCAGCTTAGTGAATAGACCCCATAGTATCCCGTTACACTGAAGTAAACTTAATGAAGTGATGATTGGTGGATGGTTGCTATAGGTTACTGCATTTTGCACATTTTAAACTCTTAATCAAGGCAGAATAACGAAAAAAAAAAATCCAACTAGATCTATTTGTGAGCAAAGGGTTCACCCGGCCAGGTATAACCTTTTTCTTTAATAACCCTACCCTTACATCCTTCATAAGTGTCTGTTAGGTATAAAAATAAATTTTAAAATACCAGTGAGTTCAATCCTCCAAATAACCTAAACTACAGCTACACATTGATATGAGACAGTGCTTGGAGGATTCGTTAACCCTTTCATGACCAGAGGTCAACCCTACCTAGATGCACAGGCCAAATTTAGCAGCATCAGCATGCATCATTTAACTTGACTACTTTGGATACCTAAATGGTTTATATATATTTCTATGGAAGAACAATACAACAAAGCATATCCAAAAAAGAGGTTTTATCATTTTTAAGGATTCATAAGGCTTTTATTTACACTTTTTGAATATAAACCCCACTCTTTATTTTTAGTATATTGTGACATATATGCAATTATTTTTAATAGTGGACAATTACTATATATGATTGCATTATATTATAATATATATGAATATATACAATATTATGTTTTTGCATATGATTGGATAGTGGAAGCCTCACCTCATTCACTAAGCTAAGAGAAAATTCCTGTGCAAAATGTAAATTTCTTTTGCAGAGTCAACAGCCTAGTTGCATTTAGTAAATCAACCAAATTGCTGGGATTTATTTACTAATTCAAATATTTCACAGCAAGAATCTTTCTTAGACAAAAGTATCTATTGTCTATAATTCAAGACACGTGAAGGGAGAAACAAGTTTACAAAAAATTATTTGCATATAGGGAGAAGTGTATTTGGAGGATAGTTTTATTAATATATTAAATACAAAGAAAACACTTTTCTCACTCCTTACACTGTGTTCTATTTTTCATGCTTGTTCTGCCTCTCTGCTATCTGACAAAGTAACAGTAGAGAGAGGAAGAGGTAGAGAGAAAATAGGATTATTTACTAAAAGATTTGAGAATATTTACTCATTGAGGCTGCTTAACTAAAGAATTGGAGAATAAATCTGCCGCACAGCACTGTCTAGCAGGAGACCAGATATACCAGTATTACTTTCACTTACAGGCCTTTCCACACCCCCACCCTGTGACTGGAAATGAGAAAGATCACACAAATGAGCCTATCTCTTTGTCACTCTGTTCTCTCCTGTCAACATAGTCCTTGCACTGCAGCACACCTGATTGGTTCCTTGTGCTGCTTCTCCATCCTCTTCTCTAAGCTCTGCTGTAAAAACTGTACAGTAGACTGCAAGAGACCAATATCAAGACAAATTCAAGGACTTACAATGCTTGCAATTAAAAAAATAAATTTAATGATGTATCTAAGATTACAAAGCTGCATTCATTTATGTATTTTCTATCTGCCTGGAGTTCAGCTTTAAGAGAGTTTAAATATAATAAAAGCTGCTTACCTGTGCATTTCCTTTTTGCACATTTTGGCATAAGGGTTTCTCTAAATAGGGGCAGTAGTCAGAATATTGTAAAGGGAATCTTTCATCCGATAAATAATCGATGCCTCCCTTCAAAAATAGCTCCCTTACTCTCATGCTGATCCCCTGTATCAATGCTTTACAAATTACTGCCCTAGAATGCAGCAAGTGAAGTAAGAGGGAGGGGGTCAAGTCTGTACAGAGTCAGGGACCCTGAAAGAAAACAAGATTTAGAATGGACATCACACATGTAGCATTTTCAGAGGGTGGTCAGCTATGGCAGCCAATATTTTTCTGATGACAGGGTTTTTAAAAATCATGTTATGACACCCATATGTTACACTCATTCAGCAATATACCATTATTGTGGCATTTACCATACACTTTGCAGCTTTCCTCTGACTGTTGCACTTTGTTACACAATTAGTTAGCCAAATGATTGTATGGGGAACCTAGTGATGTACTTTCTGTCTATTAATTAAATGTATGAAGGATTGGTTGGATAAGACACGGTCAATTTATAGCACATCACAGTATGTTTTTTTCTTCCATGTTCAGCAGGTCTCATGATTCCATAAACCAGTGACAAATGTTGGTGTAATAAATCCCTACCTAAGATATATGAGACGTAAGCCACAAAGTAATGAAAGATTGATGATTTTTTCTTCCTACTGAACTTGTAACCTCGTTCCCCTGTAGATATATGACCAAGATGGGACACTCCAGCACTTCATTGATGGAGGAGAACCCAGTAAGTCAAGCTGGATGAGGTACGTCCGATGTGCCAGGCACTGCGGGGAGCAGAATCTCACTGTCGTTCAATACAGGTAATGTATTACAAATATTTTTATACATTATATATATATATAAAGGTAAGTTGTCCTGCTACAATATGACACACACACATATATATATATACCGTCATGGGCAAAAATATTGGCACCTCCTGCATTTCTGTCAGATAATGCACCACTTTTTGCAGAAAACTGTGCAAAGTGGTGCAAAGTCACTGCGCAAAGTCACGATTAGGTTACTAATTCGTATTGATATTGTAGTCCATCACGGGAGTGTGAGATTAGAGTGGTGGCTACTTTACAACACACACAGGGACCATGTCAGCACCAATTCAGAGATGATTTGAGGCTCTACAAATGAGTGATACACAAATAAAATAAATTTTATAGTTAAGACTTAACTCCTGAGTTTAGTGTCACTTTAAAACTTCTGATGATTGAAGAGAAGCTGAGGAGGTCATATTGAAAAACAACCCAATAAAGCCCATAAGCATTTATCCCAGACCAATGTAATAACATTCTTATATTGGAAATATTATATTAAAATATAATGAAAGACATTTTAAAAAGGCAAATCTGATCCTTGAAAATAAAATCAGTTACATGGGTCGGACATTTTTACAGCACTTTTTAAATCCTAATGAGATGTTAACAACTCTGTATAGCACAGTTTCAGATGTTTCAGCTTTCAGTGCAATGAACCATGAAAATTAAATAAACTCTTTTCAGTCACCAAAGATCGGAGCGCTCTGGGTAGGGAACACTTAAGGCATCGGCCTATTTTTATATTGTCCAAAGTTGTCCTTTTCACAAAAAGTCAGCTGGTTTGAATTCCCTGTGTTATGATGTCTAATATCTAAATGGAATTTTCTTCAAAGAGCTGTGTGATTGATTGACCCTCGGTTGAACGTTTTGTTTTTATTTTGAGGCTGACAATAATGTCCGTTGGCATGTGTTCTACTTCAACAGCGTTAGGACGCCATGAAGCTATCTTTATGAGTCATCCAACCACAATACTAAATACATGTCAGCAAAGGAAATATTATCCGAAATGAGAAAAATCCCTTTGATGTACTTCACCATGCAGAGAGTTGTGCGAGTTTTGGACGCATTATCTGCTTGGAAGAAATGGTGAATGCTTACACTATTTTTTAGCCTACCCCAACCCTCCGAGACCACCCATTGCTTGAAAACAGTTCTGCTCTTTCAGCAGCAAACTGTGTCATTTGGTTTTTAGTACATTCGCTTGCTACTCCGCTTTGTTTATGTTAGAGAGAGCCAAAGTGAAAGATGAAATGTTTGCAATGGTGGAGTACAAAGTCGATTTGATTTTTCTCAACTTTGAGAACTATTGATTTTTTTTTTTAATCTGCAGTGAGAGAATTTTCATTGCGGCAGTGGAGGGGTGGAAGTTTATGGAGGGAAAACAAAAACAGCCCAAACTGAGAGTTTCTGTCAGATATTCATAGAAAGCGGTAGTTCTGCTTAGCCAGCAGAGCCCTCGTGAGACAAAATGGCTGTAAATAGAGAGAATAACAAGATAAATGGAAGTTTTGCAGCTGCAAGTAAAATATTGAGAATCTGCACTTTTCTATTGATCTTTGTGATCCTGTTGCCAAGAGGCAGTTTGTGGTGACAAAATATGTTGACAACTGCATATCTCACACCGGTGAAAAATTTACAGACGGACTCCCATATGTCCGCACTGTTACACTACAAACAAATTATCCTGTTACAGATAATTCTTTATGGAAAGGATGTTAAGTTATATGAAGTCATTCTGTTTTTTACTAAAAACTTCCATCTAATATTTTCAGTTGTAATTGGAAAACTTTCTCCAGATAAATATGATGTACGTTTTGCTGCAGAAATCTGCAATTTTTGTTTTCAAAAGATGGATTAAAAAAAGACCTCTTGAGAAACCTTCTAGCTGTAGCAGAATGACTTGTTGTAGATAGGCTACTAGGAAATAATATAACATTGACTTTTCTAGATAGCGTACACTGATATTAATTATTATTTCTAAACTGAAGATGTCAAGCAATTCAGTTAATTACATTATAAATGCTAAAGAACTCCACATTGTGGTGGGTGGGCATTTGACATAATGTGCAGCTTTTCACAGCACATTTGCACATTAGGGTACACTTACTTGATCTTACCTGTCAGTGCAACCTCCTCCAAGGGTGACAGGTCAGGGCTCAGATCACTGCTCTTTCAGACACCATCAATGCCATATTTCTCACCTTCTCTTCCATTTCCCAGGGTGCTCCTGTGCATGTGCTGTGTAGTATACATAAAAAAGCGTGTTCTCCAGTTTAAATTTTTTTTGCTAAAAGAGACTTTTCATGTCTCTTTTGTCCAAACGAATCTGACAGTCTTTAAAACTGAGGCATTTTCCAATTTGAAGTAGAACTATGGTCAGTCTATGGATATTTAAATATTTACACATTCTTAACAAGCAGAAAATAAACTTGAAACAAATCCCCACTGACCTCTGTAGTTATAGCCACTGTGGAGCAACTGATCACTAAAATTCACAAGCAGTAATGTAGTTTAAGTTGAGTTCCAGCACTCTCTGTTAGGGATTAGGAGTTAGAAGGCTGGCTGCTGGGAAGAGGGAGTGAGCTGAGCTGCTGAAATGAAAGTGGTAGCATTTTCTGCTGTAAACTTTAAAGTGATATTAAAGTCAAAAGAATTTTAAGCTTTTTCAACTATTTGAAATCACTTCATCAGGCTCAGAATGACGAAGGGGTACTTTTGAGACCCCGAAAGCACTTGTACTGAATGGCAATCTGTCATTAAAGGACTTTTTGCTGTGAATATCCGTGGTGTGCTGGTGACAATTTTTACTTTACTCTATATGTCCACGGTGCCGTCTGTGGTCGCTACAAGCACCCATCTGCTCTGCAGGCTTATTATTTTTCTGGTAAGGAGTGCAGCTGGATTCCTACTATATTGTCCACAAACACACAGGCACAGCAAATCAAGCTATTTCCCTCCCCCGACTCCTCTCCTCCCAACTCCTTTCTCCAAGCCAGTAGGTGAACAGTTGCTGGAGTCTGCTCTACCCCTTGTAATCTTGTACTGGACAGGAAGTTTAGGGAAGCCAAGCTGAGAGACTTGGAAGCAGCATTTCAGAAATATGATGATATTAAGTGTTTGGGCAAAAATGTAAAGCAATGCTTTTGCTGGACAATGCATATTTGTTTGATCTGGATTAATTATTAAAAAAGTTTGAGAGTTTAATATTACTTTAAGGATGAATTATGAAAGGACAGTTTCTACTTTAAAGCTCATTTGAACCCTTTTAACTTTATTTATCTGCTAAGTGCTATAATTTTTAATTTACAAATAAATATTTAACCACTTCAGCTCTGAACCTGTACGCACCCTATGGGTCAGAGCAATTTTTACATTTCTTCTATGGGTCTGTTTAGTCAACAAAACTCGGCCATAACTTTTGTTAGCGCAAACAAGGCTTTCTTTTGATGATATTGTATTGTTAAAATGATTGTATTTTTCATGCAATAGACAAAAGCAAAACTAAACTTGCACTTTCTTTGATCAGTGTTAGTTAGAAAAAAAATGGTGTCACTATAGATAACAAATACATTTTAATCTTTAATTTGTCCTGTTCAAAATAACACAAAAATTATGATTCTGGTACAAAGCATTTCACAGTTACGTACAAATAAAATAAAAGCATTTTCAGTTGTGCACTTTTTAATAAAACACTAAACAAACAAAATGAATAATGTAAATATTAATGGTTAGAAAAATTAAATATACACAAAAGCAGGAAAATAACAGCTTAGGGGAGAGGGGGAAGGAGTTATTTAGGGCTAACTAAGGTAAACTAAGGGTTTAATAGAAACACGTTTTATTTAAAAAAAAAAAAAAAATTTAAATCATCAGGTTCTTTAACTGACATCATATCCAGATTGAAGCTTATCCCTTTTTTTTTATAGTTTATACAAAAGTAACAATGTTAGGCCCTATTAACACTTGCGATTGAAGATACACTGTAAATTCCATTGGCAAGAATCAGTGGATATTTGTAGCTGGAATCATAGGTGTGTGCGAATAGCTAACTGTATAAAGCAATGACAGACCATGTTGCCTTTTGATGTGCTCAATAAGTGGAACACTGCAGTGTGAAAATTGCCCTTCTACCCTGCAGTATTGAAGGCCCTAAATGTTATTTAAACAAAGGACACTATCTGCAAGGAGCTTTTGTGTTCTTCTGTTTGCAATGTCCATACTGGTGGCTTCTGCCCAACCTGGCCTTGTGTGCATAGGGCTTTATATGAGAAGCTCTGTGTTTTTAGTAAAGTTGGTTTAGGTTGGTGTTTTTAGTAAAGTGCTCCTGAAAGTACAAAATAAATAAATGTAATCAGGATTCAAGAGAGATAAAAAGATATATGTTAAAATCAGTACCACATAGCTATCTGTAGTTCGAAAAATTGTTCATATTGCCTTGTCTGTCCAAACTAGCCTGACAACAAAAATATATTTTTACTTAAACTGTGAAACTTTCTTCCACATAGAAAGTCATTTTATTTTAGTGTTGTAAGTGAGACTGTCAGGAGTAAATAGTTGAACAATGATTGATTTTCTGTTCTCTTACCAGATCCAGCATATTCTACAGAGCTTGTATTGACATTCCCCGTGGCACAGAACTGCTGGTGTGGTACAATGACAGCTACACGTCGTTCTTTGGGATTCCATTGCAGTGCATTGCTCAGGATGAAAACTGTAAGGAGCTGACATTATTACTTATTTACTTGAGAACAACAACAACAAAAATTTAAGCATACCCATGGCCTATGTATTGTGTAAGAAGCCGTTAATGATCCAGCATTAAGCCATATTTTATTTAAGTTTCATTTTCCTGCACTTGAAGACATGTCTTTTGGAGCGTACTACATTTATTACATGCCAACACAGAATAAACCCATTTTTTGGTATAGCAGGCTACTTCTTGACTACCCTGAGTCTGTGCCTTGCTCAGGGTGGATTGAGGTACTTATTTTTTGCATGCATTTCAGTGTTTGTATATCTATGTACTGTAATTTGTTTTTTGAGCTGTAGATATGTCTCTATATGCATGCTTATCTATGATACACAGGGAGTTCTACGTTTCTCTTCACAATGCCATATTCTTACATCTAATGTTCTTCTAAGCAAGTAAAACTGAATTCAGCATTCCTCAAGATCTCAGTGCTTCATCTAAACATATAACCAACACAAGATCGGATGCCCCTAGTAATACTTTGATGCAGTTGCATCTAATGCACCCTCCATTGTGCTCATAAGATTATTTCAGGTATTATGTACATTAAAGCAAGGAGGAAATTGGTATATGTTAGAATTGCATTCAAATATATCCATACCCCATTCTGTTTATGGCAACTGCTGTCTTTTTTTCTGTTAATATACATTTAATAGACAACAAATTAAGGAGTCATTGCACACAAACCTGATATTTTAGTCTTATGTAGATTCTGGCACATTATATCATATGTTGGATTATTATCAGGTCAATTCACTAAAGGGGGAAGAGTTTGGAGAAGGCAGGAGAAGTGAACAATCTAGGCCAACATATCTGATTTGGAAAAATTCTCCAATTCAGCTCACTTTCCAGTTCAGCTATGTTGTCCTAGATTGTTTCCTTCTAATGCCTTCTCCAAACTCTTCACCCTTTTGTGAATAGACCCCTATGTCTTTTGGAGAGCTGTTGGTGAGATCACTGCACTTGAGTTAGTGGATCTGCCCACTGGTCTGGTCATTGGTTTCCACTGTCTTTGAAGGATTTTTGGTTTGATATGTTAAATACGTATGCATGACATTTTGTTTCAATACAGTGCACATTAGTTTTAGCATAGTTGCAGTGTTTGCTTTTTTTTTGCATATTCCCTGGAATTGTTATTTAATTGAATAAAAGGCATATCACACCATTTATTTTTCCTGAGCTGTGTTGATGTAGCTAATATTCTTCTGCATTAAATCTAAGTTTTGTATGACACCCTCTCCTGCTCTCCATCTCTCTCCTCTCTCTTTGAGCTTTATTTTAAGAAACAGGACAAGGAAAAAGACAGTATATGCTCACAGGCTTACAATATAGTATAGATACATAACTTCTGCAAATAAGAAATTGATGCATCTTAATTGAAGTCTTTATTTCTTGAACACCAGTATAATATTGTTGTGATATGCATCCTATATGTACCTATGGTATTTATTGGCTTTTACTGTGTTTCTTGCAGTGAATGTCCCATCACCAGTTATGGAAGCCATGACCAGGCAAGATGCACTGCAGCCTTTCAACAAAAATGGCAAGTTGCCTTCTTCCACATTGCAAAGGTCCATAGTTTTCCCACAGACTCCATGCAACAGAAACTATTCTCTTCTGGATAAATCTGGGCCTCTCGATACAGGATTTAACCAAATTAATGCTAAAAACCAGCGAGTGCTTGCCAGTCCAACCTCAACAAGCCAACTCAACTCAGAATTCAGTGACTGGCATCTTTGGAAATGTGGACAATGCTTTAAGACTTTTACCCAACGGATTCTACTACAGATGCATGTGTGCACCCAGAATCCAGACAGGTAAAACAAGACGGTATGGGTGTACCTAAAGGTTATTAGTTACATATTAATGAGGGGAAGTAGACAAATGGCAGACAATATGGAAATATGGAGTCTCCTATAAAAAAAAGTGCCAGGAAGGTGTCTGATATAAACATTTTAAAAGTGAAGAAAATGTTCCTCTTAGACAATTGGTGAGGAACTCCAAAATAAATTCTGGCAGGGGTTCTAACCACTCCCTTGAAAACTACAAAAAAGTTTTGGCTTTATAAAGACTTTAAGTGCTATGTGAAGCAGCAGCTAGGATCAGTTTTACCTATTAGCATAGCATAAGCAAACCTATTTATTAAGATAGTATAATGATGATGATATTGTAGTCCGCCAGTGATATTTTACAATGTGTTTCCTTTACAGTGAAATTTGATTGGGTGCTACAGGGTGCTGGAATTTAAACATAGTCAAACAGATTGATAAAAACTCATACTAAAAACTCAAACTATATATATATATACACACACACACACACACACACACACACACAATTATGTTTAATATCAAAAAATGATCTCAATCTGCTTTAAACCAGATAAATATGAAATAGTGCATGTTAATATTCCCATTTACCACTTACCGCCAGCAAGTGGTGATCTATGTGAGAATAGAAGTCTCATCAGCATTTCTGCTAAAATACATTTGGCTGGGTCAGACAACACCCCCTGTCCTTCTCTCTAGGCAGGAATGTCATACTTAATTTTAGAGAGGCAACTACAAACCAAAAAGGTAGTGCTGGGCTTTCTGTATGGTGTAGCCATAAACCATCATAGGTTCCCTTTAAACTTTGAACTAATAACTTTGTGCTCAACTCCTACCACAGCAGCAAGCACAATTCCAGGTTTGATTGCTAGATTTCAAAATTAATATTTTTTTCTATGGCACGCTTTACTAAACGAAACTAAACAAAATAAACAATGCTAATGTAAAACACGTTCCCTTTAACACTGCTTGTAGCCAAGCACAATTCCTAATCTTTAGACAAAAAATGACTTAAACATGTAGACTAGATATCAGTTTTTGGAGGATGTCAGTGGCTTGGGGCACACAGTTTACATTTTTTTAGCATTTTGGCAGGATTTTCAACTTTATCCCTTCAATCTCTTGTATATTATTCCTAACCACTGGGCCTAATTCATAAATCCAGCTGAGAGAGGAACTTTCAGACCACTCACAGCAGCCAATCAGGTTCAATCGGCCATTATCCAACTTTTCGGCCATCTTACAACTGGTTTGCTACCTGTTGACTCACACAGTTGGTGATGGGTTTGCTGTCATTAGATTCTTATTCTGTTTCTGAGCACAATGATAAAAATCTGGTACGTGATCAAACCAACTTCTCTCCATTCAAAACTGATGTGTCAGGGGACTTATCTTTTAAGTTTATGATATTTCTTTTTAAATGTTTGTACAGCAAACCTGGCAGAAAATATATATTTTTTTACCAACAAATACATACATAACAGTTTTATTTTCTACTAAGGAAGATGGGGACACTCCATTTATTTTTGCTTGAGGCCCATATGTTTAAAATGGGCTCTGGTTCACACAAGGGTTACCTTCATAAGCTGTATTGAGCTAAACATGACATTTTAAAGGCAGGTTGACTGTGTGTCTCCATTTCAAGATTTATGCAGTGTTTTCTCATGGCCATCATGCAGGGTTAGATTAATGATCATCATAGGTAGAAAACATCAGGCCAAGATTCTATAAATGCCTTTATGTCTCACAGAGAGAGAACGCCTTGCATCTCAGAGCTGATGTGACAGTCATTGCAGGGTTCACCTGCGGTGTACAGCATGTAGGAACTTAATTAAGTACTAAGAGGCAATGAATTGGAATTTTTTGCTTAGCACTATTTTTCTTCAGAGCATGCACAGCTATAAATCGTGAGGAGCTGTCAAAAAGATATACCTGCTCTAGTGGTGATGTTGAGGAAAACAGATGCCATTTATTCAATAAACTAATATCCATACAGAAGAAAAATGTTGACCAGATACCTTAGAGTCAAAGTTGGTTTGAGCGTTTGTCAATATGGAATTTTATGGCTGTGAAGTGAAGATGAAATTTAGCTGAACAAGTGAATTCAAATTTCTGGTACTTTGGCCACTGGCACAGTGCATGTAATACAGTCATTATTTATGCATCAAAGCTCATTTATCTGACGGTCTTGAGAGCTAGCAAGAAGGGGAGACATGTAATTAATGAAATACTAAAAATGTGTCTTTTATGCTGTTTTTAAATAATCCAGATATTTACATAAATGCTGCAAGTAAATTCAAATGAATTTGAATTCATTGCAATGAAATCAGAAATTGTAATTGCTTTTTGATCAGTATTATAAAAAATACCCCATTTTTAAGGTGAGCATTTTATTCAAGGCAAATACAAGTACAAATATGCCAACGTTAGGAACATGCGTGAGTATCATTTACTTAAGGGAGTCATTTTTTCACAGGCCAAAGAGCTGTGATTGTATCACAGCTGTAACTGGGTTAGGTGGAGATTTTGAAAGTACTGAGTTTAATTTAAAGGAGAACTATGAGATGAGCGATTTCCACTCACCTCATAGTTCTAGCCGACCTGTGACAATGAGACTGTCACAGGTCGGCTCAGTAGATCGGGAGGTGAGCGAACACATACCGGGTTCGCTCACCTCTCGATCCTGTCACGGCTCTCTGCCGTGACAGGGGGAGGGGCTGGATTCCCCTCTCCCCGCTCCGATCTGCCAGCGCTGACTGGCAGAACGGACGGGGAGGGGGCGGGTACAGCTGGCTCTGCCTCTAGATAGGCAGAGCCAGCTGTCACTCACGCAGCTGGGCGGAACCCGACGTCCAGGTCGGGATCCGCTCCGGCGTCTCAGTATACCGCCAGCTGTAGCTCGCGGTATACTGAGCTTAGGGTAACGGGAGGAAGCTAGTTTGTGTCCTCCCGTTACCCTAAGGAGAACTATGGGGAAAAGCACTGACCCCATAGTTCTCCTTTAACCCAAATTGATCTTTGAAGAAGCACATAAACTGAAAGGCAACTCCACATAATTTCAGGGAGAAAGGAGTGGTATACCAGTTCTACTGTGTTCTACTGCTAAACACTAGGCACATGTAAAAGACACAAACTAACGGAGCTATGCAATCTGAAGTGTGAAATGAAGAAACAGCACCAACAGCACCAATCAGATCATATGCAGAGAAGCAGCATACTGATAGAAGGATAGAGCAAAGTTACATACATATGAGCTTATCACTGTGCTTTCAAGCACAATATCAGAGGATCAGAGAAACTGATAAGAGAGTCATTTTGATGAAAAACTGATCCGCTTACCCTATAAGTCCTGCCATAACGTATGTACCTTTTACAGTGGATAGTTGTGCATCAGCAAAACAAATATTTCTTATACATGTAACTAGGTCTTATCACAACTATATCTCTGTTGCATAAGCCTTTATGAAATGTCAAGTTTCTCTCAGGCATAATTTGATCCACCAATAAGCTTTAAACACCCTCAAAGCTTTTTTAAGGTGATGTCTCCTTGCCAATTTTTCAGCTTGGACAGACCTACCTTGGCTTTGTGCCAAGTGGTAATGTCACTTCAGCTGTTCAGGTATCTCCAATATTTTCTTACAAAGATTTGAGAAGAAGCCAAGTCCCAATAGGCTAGCACAACAATACTGTGAACTTAATCACTGGGCATTAGGCCTTGCATATTGTGATGTACAAGTTTTGCCTCAGCTTGTATGACCTGATCACCAAAGTCCACGTAAGGACTTTCAAGGAAATACAATACGGGAGCAAAACTTTTGGGCTGGTAGCCTTGAGAGGAAATAAATTAATTCATATAGTAAAAAGTCATTTATAGGGTGAAGACAGAGCTCAGTATTTATGTCTAGCATCTAGTTAAATAGTTTTGTATGATGGTTTTGCAGTAATACAACCTTTTGCAATGTAGATCGCGTCTTGATTATTCTAATAAGCTGCTAGTCACTGGATGGCCACAGATAAACAGAGTAAGGCTAGTATAATCGCACTGAATGTACATAGCACCTCATATTTCTTCTGATGACTAATGTTTCTTTACCGTGCACTCCAGTTCCATAACACCAAAAAAGGCTTATTGATTTGACAGTATTTCAATAAGAGATTTATGCGCACATTAAAACAACCACTGTTAGGAGCTAATTGTATGTGCTGAATGTATTACTCAGATGTGAGGGAACACGATTCCCCATAGAGTAACATAATATGGAAGAAAATATTTGAGAAGTATTTTTTCTTCAATAAAGATTAAAGTAAAAGAGCAGTGGGACCTCAGACTTAAACTGCAGACTGTGCAAAAAAAAATCTCTCCCTGGGCTGGGATGTAAAATCCTATAAATAAAATTGACTTATGGTTGCTTATTCTCAATGTTTACGAAGACAGCATTTTCATGTAGGGTTACAATCGATATGGATAGGATCTACTTTGCTAAATACCAGGACATCACAATCTCCATTATGACATATTTTCAGGACAGCACTTTTGAGCTGAGTTCTGATCTGAGCCAACTTATTTGGTTACATTAAATGTGAGCTCTAGAGTCTTGCAAAGCAAAAACTCAGCAAGACTTGCCAATAAGCAGAAAAAATGTTTAGGCTAAAAATCTGGAAATGGCAGCTGATGAGGGATATTTGCATGAAACAAACAAGAAAGTAATTGTGTTCAGACTCTTTCTAAAAAAAAAAAAGAATAAAGTGGAACTCTAGCCAAACCATTTTTTTTCTAACCAATAAATAAAAACCTGGCAGATGTTCTAACATTCCCCATTCTATTGAAAAGAAAAAACAAATTTAGCTAGAACTCCACTCTGGAACTTTACATGCATATTCACCTCTCAGTTGCCCTTCTTCTGCTCTAACAGCTGCTATTTTGCTGGTGTTTCTTTTGCATCAAACATCTTCCCTCTTCAACCAGTGGGTGACTACCCACTGCTCAT